ACTGCAGCTTCAAGTTCTTCGACTTCAGGGCATTGAGGACGTGCTCCATGCCCCCAGCCTCCAGAAACACAGCCTCCCCAGCCGGAAAGTTCCGGATCAGGCCTGAGATAGCAAGCAGGCCCTTTGCTTGGCAAGTGGCATCTTCATCTTGCAGCAGGGCCAAGAGAGGTGCCAACACACCTTCATCTGTGAAGTCCTGCCAGCAAGAATACCCAATGATCTCAACCATAAGAATCTGATGCGATCACTGCCCTGGTCCTGACATTTTCCATGACAGCGTTTGTTCCCTTTGCGAATTGAGGTGCTTTGCCTCTGCAATGATGATGGGTACCTTTCATCAAGCTGTGTAATGGAATGCAGCATTGATTTTTTTTCGTTTTATGCTTTATTGTGTTTGGTTCCAATGGTGTATTGCTGTGCTGCATCTAAACATTTTGTGTTTTATTGTTTTCGCTTGACAGTGTCAGGTTGCCTTCCTGTTACATTGTTCGAATGCCCCAATCCTCCAGTGCAAGTTTTTGTCATGGGGACTTTCGTGGCCCAGGCTGTTGACCATGACCTAGGCAAGCAAACAACAGTACCATGCAGATGCCATGTTGGGAAGTTCCACCAGCAGAGAGGCAACGTACAAACTACTCTACACCCTTTCCGATACTAAATTTGAGAAGTTTGGTGCTACAGTACTAATATCAAGTACATGACACAAATGCCTCTTTGTGCAACACGAAGAGCATGCCATAAGTGCAATGCTTGCACAGAGATAAGAACATTTTCCACAAGAAGCATTGGCCCCCTGCATAAGGGCTTCGTGAGGTTCCCTTTGTACTGCAATCTGCTTCACTGCAAGGTAATTTGCTGCAAGATGTGTGCTCCTGTGATTTGGCATGGGGTGGAGTGTTCTCTTGTGCAAAGCGCTGTGAGGTCCTTGTAGATCGCCAGAAAATCAATACAGTATGATGATCTGAAACCGGCAGAGTCATGTCCCAGGACAAATGTGTCATTTCCCATGCTGCTGCACGGCATATGCTCTTTGGCACAAAGCAATGTGCAGAAGGCAGGCGAGCAACGCAAACAAAAGCTGCATCCCTTGTTAGGCAAAAAAAGCATATTACGCAGTGGGATATGGTCTGCACTGAGCTCAGCATTCCTTTCGTGTTCCCTTTTATTCCGTTGCATTCCCCATACATTTCACTTGCATTTCCTGTTATTTCGATCGAATTGTTTTTTGTGTGCGCTGGTGAATACCATTGAGCCATTGCAGTACACAATGAATACTGCGAATGGATACAAGCAAATGTCAACTGCAAGCTTCTCTTTTGTTCCCTTGTTCTGCAATCACTGCTTAGAGCTGTTGCAGGTGGGTGCTGAGAGGAGAAATGAATGATTACACAAGGGCACACAAGCATTTTGCAAGCACACACACACGCCTATCACAGCGTGAAAGGTGTTGGGGCCTTGCGCTGTCTCACACAAGCAAAAGTAACACAAGGAGGTAAGGACTTGAGGACACCAGCGGCACAAAAAACTCTGTCAAATCTAGGGCAATCTTAGGGAGCTAAGAGACATGAGGGCTCTTGGACATCCCTAGGAAACTCAGCGCCACAATGGCCTTTGGCATTGTCTAGAGAACTGAGGGACACAAGAATAGCAATCTGCACTGTGCAAGGCCCCATTTGCCACAAACGCATTCTGACGAAAGTGGATGTGTGCATCAAGCGGACCTTTTGCACTGGGGGATTGTTAGCCACGCACGTTGCCACGACCTCAGCGGCCCGCCACCTCAGGGCTACATGTGGGCACTCCAAAAGCTCCAGCAGGGTAGGCAGGCCCCCAATTTTGTGCAGGTTCCTGGCATGGTCGATGCTGGACACGATGTCCTGCAGTCCCCCAGTCAACAAACTGACCAAGATTCCAGCGGCAGGGGCGATCAAGATCAGGCACTCTGTGGTTGGACTTGTCCCCTCATTGTCTTGCAGGTGCAAGGGCAGTGCTGTTGTCACTCATTGATACTGACAAACTTGAAAGGATTTTCACACCATGAAAAGCCAGAGCACCAGCAGCACTGTGAAAGACAGCAAGCATGCACATACAGCCCACGTCAAGGTAAACATGCACGGAAGCACAAGATACACAAGACATACCACCACCGAAGTGAAGTACTGTGTGGTGAAAGCAGTGCAGCCATCAGTCCTATTTGTGGATCGGCACCTGCAGCTCCTCCAATAGGGCAATCCTTTCCTCCAGGCTTGCTGTTGTGTTCTCCTCACCGTATTGCAGCTTTGACACGCACGCAGGCTGTTGGCAATGAAGGGCAGCATGCTTCCATGTAGCAGAGGGAATTCCATTGCAAAAGAAGAACAAAGCGCTAAGGCAATGGGCACCCGCTTCATGAACGAATGTGTCTGCAAGGCTCATTTGCATGCACCACTTTTGTTATTGCTTTATCCATCTATCGATTAATTGTTGAAGACACTATGTTCATTATATATACACATTTGTGGTGGGTGAGGCAGAGGTCCCACGTCCAGGGAGAAAGGACACACTGCAGAACATAAGCAGCAGCATGCCAGCATATGCACTCAGGTGTGGGCGTGATGAGCAGCATCGCACCACTTGAGCCTCTCTGGGTCAACCTCGAGGTTTGACCAATCTGTTGGTCGGGTGCCATCACGATACTTCATGCTCCATTCAAAAAGACCTGTGGCACAGCATGAATGATTTGCAACAGTCAAAATATGGCAGCTAGAAAATACCACCACAAGCCAAACACAACAGAACATGACCGCTCTCTGCCACTATGTGGCAATAGAGTGATGCTATGCAGCCGAGTAATGGGTGCTGCAGTAATGCCAGTGCAAAGGTCAACCACCATGGGGCAAAACTGTGCTACAAACAGCTCACTTGCACACTTGAAAGGGCACCCAATTAGAGTTGCAGATACTTGCTGAAAGCTGAAAGCTGTTCAGTTGTTAGGATATCCTGAGCCCCAAAACAGAGCCCTGGAAGGAAAGACCCCACATTTTGAGCAAAGTATGTACAGCATTGACATGCAGTCTCTTAGTAGGTGACCCAGAAGCACACCACTGACATTGCCTATCACAAAACCTCTGAACTGACAGTATCTGTCAGAATCGTCAAATTGAGGGTTCGCTACTCTCTTTTACACATTCCAATTTTTTTTTGATTGAACACTTTTCCAACAGCACATGATAAATCCCCAGCTCTTGGAGACAATGACTGGCACAATAGCAACCCACAGGAGGATTATCAGTTCTCCATGAACTTCGTTCCCTCCATAGCCATGTGGAAATGGCAGCATGAAAATCTTGCGGTGGGGAGACAGAGTGGAGAAGGGAGAAAAAGAGTAAGGCGGACTATTAAAAGCAAAGATTTCCCAAGCATCGTGGCTTGAACAAATGTGCAATGTGCCAACATGGAAACCGATGCACTGGCCATTGGAGGTGTCTCTACTAAGTTCAGACCATCAGATAGTAGCATCATTTGTCTTATCATCGGTTACAGTGGGCAGGTCTGCAATGGACCTGACAAATGCTCGCCATATGTGAACGTCCCAACCCTCAATCCCTGTTCCACGTGTTGTGGAGAGCAAGTCCTGAAACGCAGAACTGGAACAAGGGGAAGGAAACGGAATACGGACTGGGAGGGCATGGCAGGAGAGGTGCAAATTGGGGAAAAAAGGAAATGAGAAAGAAACGGATTACAGAATTGGGAGGACAGGGAGGGCAAGGGCCAAAAATGGAGAACTAGAAAAGGATAAAGGAAGCTGAAAACAGAACTGTGATGGCAATGGGGCGAAGTGCAAAATGGAGGACTGGAAGAAATGAAAACAACAACGAAGTGCAGAATTGGGAGGACAGGAAGGGCGTGACGCGCGTCAGCGACCTGGCGGCGTCGCCTGGCACGCGGCTGCAGGGCGCACCGCCCAAAAGGCGCTGGCGAGAATCCCTGGAATTCCGTCATCCTGCACTCCTGGAATGCAGGACCAATGGCATGGCGAGGCTCCGAAAGTCTGGAGAGGCCCCGGGGAGGGCTTCCCCGCCAGGCGCGGCCGCCCGATCGCTCCGTACCCCGCGCCGACGTGCGTCGAGCGCTCCCGCTGCTAGCGGGCGTCGACGCAAAAGAGCTCTCGCCCACCCTTGTCGCGGACCTGGCACGGCTGCCTCAGAGCGCGAGCCCCGGAGATCCCGCCCCAGCGAACAAACCAAACATCATCGTGTCTGGCCTGAGACGTGCAATAACATCCGCCCAAAAAGCCCAAACGCGATCAAGGCGCAGCTCGCACCCACCGCAAGACCCCGCGAACGCCCTCCCCGAACCCCGGACGTCGCGGCCGCCCCGATCGAACGGCGCCAATCGAACGACGGCCGCCGTCGCCCCGTCCCCTTCTCCCTCCCCCACCTTTCCATTGCGGGGCGGCCATCGCGTCGATCTCCCCCCCTCGCTTCCTCCGATCCTCACTCGCCTCCCCGCCCCCCTTCCTCCTTTTTGAAACCCCCGCGCAAAAAGAAACAGAAAACGGAAAAGAAAGAGCAAGAACTTTCCGGACGCTCCCCAACCCACGAGCCCGCCCCCTTCTCGGGCCCCCGGGCCCTACCTTCCCGCCGGCTTCCCCTGACCGGGCCCCGGACCCAGCGGGCCCGGCCCTCCGTCCGATTTTCCGCCCCATTTTTTTTCCACCAAACGCGCCCCCCACCCTCGCCGCCCATCCCCCCTCAAAAGGCCCACGCCCCCCACCCCACCGCCGCGCCGCGCCCTGCCCTGCCCCCGCCTACCCCCCTCCCCGCCCCGCCTGCGCGCGCCGGCGCCCTCCGCCGGCGCATCCCGCATCCCGGGGATCTCCGCTGACCGCCCGGGCGCTGGTCGCCTCCCGCGGGACTCCGCGCTGTGTTGCCAACTTCGGGCGTGCGCGCCTCGCGGCCTCGGACACCATGGGGCTCACATTCACAAAGCTGTTCAGCCGGCTGTTCTCCAAGAAGGAGATGCGGATACTGATGGTGCGGCTCCCTTAAGCTTTGGGCCTTGGATGCGGCGCAGCCCCCGCCCCCCCTCTCCCCCCTTCCCCCCTTTTCCCCCCTGCCGCTTTTCCTTTTTCTTGATTCCGGCTTTGGTTTTGGGATCCGCTGGAGCCTTGGTGGCTGACCGGACTGCTGCGATCTCTGCCCGTCTGTGCTCGCAGGTGGGATTGGACGCCGCCGGTAAGACCACCATCCTCTACAAGCTGAAGCTGGGTGAGATCGTCACGACGATACCCACGATAGGTGAGAGCGCCCCTTCACCCCCACCCCACCCCACACCCTGGGGCCCCTCCCCCCACCCCCGCGTCGTTGAACTCGAACTCGGACTCGATCTGCCTGGAGAAACGCCCTGCGACCGCCGGCGCTGGGCCCGCCAGCCCACCGCACGGGGCTTGCCTGGCTGCCAGCCGCATCGGCCATTGCTCTCTCTCCTCCTCCTCGCCGAGGGTGCTCTGATCCTCCCCCTTCCCGCGGGAGGCAGGCCTGTTGACCAGCCTGCCTCGCTCGGTCGATCCCCCGCAAGTCGGCGCGCCGGTCCTTGCTCCGGTCACCCGATTCCCGCGGCGCACGGGCGATTGAATTTTCCGCGCCCGTGGCTGGGCTCCGATCGCCGCACTCACCTGCCCCGCCGGCGGTGGGGCCCCCCCGCCCCTCCCCTGGGCCGAAAGCCGACGCTGAGAGGCGCAGCTTGATGTCCCTGCCGCAGGGTTCAACGTCGAGACAGTGGAGTACAAGAACATCAGCTTCACGGTGTGGGACGTGGGCGGCCAGGACAAGGTGGGCGATCGACCCGGCAGCAGCCAAAGCGTCTGGTTTTGAATCTACCTTAAATTGCGCGGCCGCCCGTGCCTCGCCCGGGCTCTGAGACTGTGTGGCTGTTGGCGGTGGCAGATCCGACCCCTGTGGAGGCACTACTTCCAGAACACGCAGGGCCTGATCTTCGTGGTGGACAGCAACGATCGGGACAGGATTGGAGAGGCGCGCGATGAGTTGCACAGGATGCTGAACGAGGTGGGGACGCCGGGAGGCTGCTTGATGCGCATGCCTGCTTGGTGGGGGTGCTGCTGGGCTGAAAAGTTGTTGGAAGCTGTGGGTGCGCTGGCTGTCACACCTCGACCTTGGCAGTCCAGTTGGCTAGCCGTGACAGGCACTTGACGAGGCTGCCCATCGAGCCGTGCCTGCTGAGCTTCCTGCTTGCCTGAACCTTGAATTTAGGCCCCACCTTGCTGTGCTCTTTCTTGCCAAAATGGCTTTTCCAGCTGGGCTGGCCACCCTGCTTATCCGATGCCTTCTTCTGCCTTCTTCATCCCCTTGTCTGGTGTCTTTCGCTCCTGCCATTCTTAATTCCTGCTTGTGTGCAGGACGAGCTGCGCGATGCAGTGCTGCTGGTGTTTGCCAACAAACAGGATCTGCCCAACGCGATGACTGCAGCCGAGATCACTGACAAACTGGGTCTGCACTCACTGCGCCAGCGCCACTGGTGAGGATCCCTGCCCTCATTCCCTGTATTGCAGCCTGTGGTCTGACACAAACCGTATTGTTTGCATCATTTTTTCCAGACAGTGTGGCTGTGCGGGCACTCTTTGTCCACACACCTGTTGGTATGTCAGATGGCTCGACATGGCACGTGCCGTTGCTAGCTGCCTTCTTGAACTGCAAGTGATCGGAATCCCAGTGCAGCGTGCCACAGCTGTACCTGCTGTTGCAGCAGCTGCTGTTGCAGCGTGGAGTGCAGCCGATCATCTCAATGACACGTGCTGTCACTTGCCATCCTCGCGATCTGAGAATGCCATTCCGGGTATCCTCTTTGAGGAGAGTTGGTGGTGGCCACTGGTGTATTGGGGCTTTGGCCAAGCACTGTACAGGACTTTCAGAGCAGTGAAAACATTGCAGCTGTCTGATCGGTTGCCAACAGAGACACATGCCATGACTATGATTTTGTCAGTTGATTTTGATGGCAGCATTCCTTGTATCAGGCTGGCCTGAACATGTGCCATCACTCCCTCAGGTACATCCAGAGCACTTGCGCGACATCTGGGGAGGGATTGTATGAGGGGCTGGACTGGTTGTCGGCCAACATTGCCAACAAGCAGTAAGTGCTGCTGCCCAATCCATCCACCCTCTGCTAGTGGTTCACCTTGTGGCAAGCAGCCTCGTTCAGTGCGTGAGGTTGCCCCTGGAAGGAGCTCTCTGTGCTTTGCCCAGCCTTGCAAGAGTTGATGAGGAGATGGCATGTGTGCATTTGCAGCGCGTCATATCACAACAAGAGTCGACAAGGAGATGGCATATGTGCATTTGCAGCACTTCATTTCACAGCTACAGTTACTTGTCCTATTTTTTGTCCTCTGTGTGTATTCGTTTTGGTTTTCCAAAGTACCACATCGCCGTTAGGAGTCGAGGTGCCTGTTCTGTGTTCTCATCGCTGTTGTGCAGTGCATGGCCTTGTGGCAGTACCACCCTACTGTGGGCAGCAAGCGGCCTTTTTTGTGTACATCAAAATGAATCACTGCTCAGTCGCTCATTGGGTAATTTCGGGCGGACAGACTGACTGTGTTCTTTCCTCCCTGCGCAGCTGATGCTGGAACAAAGACCCAGCAGCGCGTGTTCGGAGTCACGCTGCATGTTGTACAGAAATCTCCGTTGTTGAGAGAGGCTGCGGCCTGGTGCCGATGGCACGTTGATCTCGTGCATTCAGTGCACCCTTCGCTCCTGGGCCCTTGGGCGCCCCGCATATGGGTGAGGGAGCGGCGAACAGGGTGCGGGAAGTCCTGGCTCTCTCGAATATGTGTTGGCTCGAGGCCCTCGTGTGCCGTTTGCTGGATGGAGAGTGCGGTGGCGAGGAGAGCTGTGCAGGCAGAGGGACCGCAGGGCGCTGGTGGTGGGCGCCCGCATCGGGCCTTCCGAGTTTCGAGAGAATGGACGCGATTTGGGTTTTGGGTCGACAACGGTCGATCTTTGGGTTGTATGGATTTCTGTGTTGACAGCTGTCGATTGTCGTGTATCCTATGTTGCGCTTTTCGTTCTGGTGTGCATTTTATGCTGTCGGCTTTGTTTCACGCCTTGCCACCTGGGGCCGGCAGGTGACGCTGCAGTTTGCTGCGTGCCTGGCTTGTCTGCCGGGCTTGTGTTCGCGGCCTGCATCGGCAGTGCGTCTTCGTTTGTTTGTGTCCCCCTCCATTGCGTGCAAGGTCACGAGTGGAGCTCCGTGAGACCAGCTATCCTTGGTCATCGCTGGTCAACGTCCGGCTGCTGCAAGGTGGTTTGGTGGTGCTTTGTCCAGTGGACAACCTGGCGCCCCACATCGCAGCCCACCTCAGAAATCCGGAAAGCGTTGCTGCATGGAATGTCATGAGCAAACGGTCGGCGGTTTGATGTCCACAAAGGGCCAGAGCGGCAGTCAGGGAGTGCATGTCTCCTAACAAGTACCGTCAGGTGGTGTTCCGGACACCTGGCTGTGGACGGATTGTGGGGGACGCCATGGCACTTTGGTGTCGACCCCATTCCGCGCCAAAGGCGCACCAGTCTGGTATGGCACGGGATGGATGGGCTCACTATGCAGCGCCGCAAGCAGTAATTGTGCTGCCGAAGGTGGCGTGACAGCCCACCTGGCTGCGCGTTGTGCCAGGCGCAAGTGTTAGCGAGCGCTGCATATTGCGTGCCTCACCCGCGAGAAACGATCGCACCAGTTGTGTTTGTTGGGTGGTGGCCGCCATTCTGCTGGCTACCCGCGCGCCTGGCATTCGACTCAGTCGACTCGACTGGCACTGGGCACACCATCGCCTATGATCTCACTGGGAGCGTTTCTATCAGTGGGTGCTGTTGCACCGGTGGGGCTATGCAGGAACGGTTCTCATTGGCTGGCTTGCCCCGTTACTAAAGCTGCGTTTGCCAAGTAGCCCCGTTGCTATTGCTCCCTTGCATGCATCTATACCAGCTGATGTCATCAGCGAGGAAACTTGGCCGAACACTGCTAGGGGCCTTCCAACTTGGAAGTTCCAAGACACCGCAGCCACTTTGTGGGCAGGTGACAGCAGGTGTTGCCCTGGGATTCTACTTGACCTCGAGCTGTGCTATTTCAGGGCTTGATAGCACCGTTTGGGGCCGAATATGGCTGCAAGGACAACACAGCACCGGCTCATGAAGATGCTCTTGGGAAAGCAGTGTTTGTTGTTGCTCGTGATTTTGGACACGGGGAATTAGGGAACGTGAACGAGCATCTTTGTGGGTGGCAGTGTTATGTCAATGTAACGCCCAACGACCTCGGTCTGACAGTTTGCTCCTCAGGAATGCAAGCAGCAGCTAGGCGCGGCTTGCCTGACTGGGCGGTGTTTTGTCTCCTGGCACAGAACCAAGGCCGGTCAGGACGCCAGAATGTATCAGTCCCTCTGTTGTTTCCGTGTGGATCCCTTCTTCTTCCGCTGACATGGCCAGCGTCGGGCATGGGTCAGTGCTTTAGGGTTTAGGACTTTCGAAACAAGGTGGATGCACACGAAAGACAAAGCGACTGATCCCATGCTGCCAGCGTCCTGAGGCTGACTGTGAGGGGCGATCCTGACGCGCACGCACTCGTGGCGTGGGGTGGAAGGGCATAAAATTACTCCCCGTTCTTGTTTGCTGAGATTCGATTCTTGTTTTCGGACACCCTAAGGGTAAACCCCAACTACTGATCCACGCACCGGGACTGGCCTTGTCAGCGCAACAAGAACCGGATCTCAGCAAACAAGAAGGGGGAGTAATATATCCTCGAAGACCCCGACACCTCTGTCCTACTGTCCCGCTTGACAAACACACCGGCAGCCACGCCCGCTGGGCTGCACCCGCCGCACCCCCCCGCACCCCCCCGCACCCCCTCGCACCCCCTCGCACCCCCGCGCACCCCCGGCACCCTGCGCCACCGACGGCAGCCGCCGGGCAGGCGCCGGGCAGCGACAAAAAGCGGGTCGTCCTTGAGCCTGGCCGCGAGTGGCAGCCGTCCGGGGCGTTCATATCAGGGGCGTCCTGTGGAATGTTTGTGCCCGCTTTGTGGCAATCGGGCGTCATCATCAGTCGTCAGACCTCTGAGTGGGTGCCTACCGTCGCACGAGGTGGGGCGGAGCGAGGGGGGCCAGTCATGGGGGCGCGCTTGACGCGGTGTCGTTCATCAGAACGCTTTGCGGGCCACTGAAAAGATTTCAATACATTCACGACCCGTGGGTGGCTGTTGGGCCGGGCACGATGCAGATCGATGGCCCCGCCAGGCGAGGACGGACGTGGACCTGACGGACAAAGGCGGACTGCTGTCCGGAGGGGCGGTCGGAGATTGACGTCCAGCTCTCGCCGCTCGCGGCCCGGCTGTGCGTCGTGCGGATTGTGTGGAGGCACGGCGGGAAAGTGGAAAGACTGTTGGTGAGAGGTGAACTCGCTGGCGAGTTTGTGTTGTTGTGTTGTGCAGTGTCAGGATGCGAGCCTCCTCTACGAGCGTCTTCTGTTGTGGGTGGGCTGTGGAACACGCAAGGGAGCTGTGGCTGCCAGTCGCAATATCCTCCGCCCTGATTCGCTAGATTTCTATCTTTCTGAAGTCGGGGAGGCTCTGCATTGATAGGAATTTGGTGATCCCATGCCTCAGAAAGATAAGCCGTGCCTCCCTCTTTGAGATAGCGATGGACGTGCATGGACGGTGAAAACTGATGGACAAGCTACAGTTTATGCCTACTGATGGCTTTATGATATCAGCATCATCCACATGCGTGCAAGGATCATGGTACCTGGCATGCTGTGTCGTAAGTTGCTGATCTGATCTGTCGCTGTGACTTGAAGTTATAGTGAATTGCCAATCGTACAGCGCCCAGGTTGGTTCAGAAAATATGACAAACTGACAAGGGGTGTTGGTCTGAATGGCACTTCAGTCTAGATACATGTATTCCAGGGTTTGCCAAAGGCTCATCGTCAATATAGAGCAGATTTGCTGCCATGTACTGCAAGAAAATATTGGCAAAAGGGATCTATGAGTCACAGACTGAATTCATTAACACTGCCATTCATGGACATTGGTTATGGGTTGCTTGGCTGCAAATCTGTTTTTCAGCTTTGTTGCAGGTAAAAAAATCCATGATAACTACACTGGGCAGCAAACCAATCAGCAAAACTACCATGCTTTCACTTACAGGCGCCGAATTTTTGAGGAATGTTGTTCTTCAATCACACCATTGTCGGCACATCTCGATCAACATTTGTGCAGTTGATTCACTTCTCCATGGCCCCAAGGCATTTGTGTGAGCTGCAAATCTGGGATCTGTGCAAGTTAGGACCATCAGTTGCTGGGAACACACACAAAGAAGGTAACATCAAACAAGGTAAGCTCGGATGTAAACTGCCAACTTGGAAGAAAATAATGCACACCCAGCACCCCTGTTGCCGTCAGTAGGGGCCATTCACCATACCTCCCACCGACTCTATGCATGTATCTCTGTGTGGTTATGTGCGTTGTGCATTTCAATGCCTAACATCTGGCTGTACTTTGAATGAAGCCCTCTTGGCAAGACACACTGGGCCCTTTTCCACCTGTCATCACTATGGAACCCATCGTGCCTTGGCCCTTGGCAGTAAAAGTTATTAGAACTACTTGGTCCAGAACTCAGATTTGTGCAGTGCTGGCAAATATTGATCTTAGGAGGGTGGGACGATCTGTCATCCCAACCTTGCTTAAGGAATCCGCACAGGGACATTGCAGGCACACAATGGCACCTCCTGCACTGAGACAGTGCCCAGTACTGCCACAAAACAAACTCCCGCAATGCGAACACATGCCTGGGGAGAGCCCTCTCTGGCATGTTTGCCATTCACGTGCACATGCAATGATTGAAGAATAGCATTTCTTTGCTTTTGGCCTTGCAGCGCTTCAAGACAGAAGGGCAATGCAAAAAGGCGTGCTAAGAAGGGCGGAGTGCAATTAATGCTAACACTAGCTGCAACGAGCATGGACGAAGCCCAGAGTGTGCGAGTGCAGGAGGTGTGGTTTCTGGCACACCATTGTTTGGGTGTGACCAGTGGCAACACAGGGCTTCAGAGAGGTCATTTGGACCACAATGTTGCCATTGACAAAGCAGCCAGGCAGGCG